GATAGGAAACCGACGTCGCGTATCCACTTCAGTCGGTAGAGCGGTATCGGAGAAAGGATGTCGACGTCGCGTATCCACTTCGGTCGACAGAGCGGTGTATGGATAGGAAACCGACGTCGCGTATCCACTTCGATCGGTAGAGCGGTGTATGGATAGGAAACCGACGTCGCGTATCCACTTCAGTCGGTAGAGCGGTATCGAAGAAAGGATGTCGACGTCGCGTATCCACTTCGGTCGACGGGATGTCTAGGATCTCTAGGAGTTTTGAATTCTGGTCAGTCGTGCGCCTGAGAAGAGTCTTCCGATCAATCTATCCCGATATCAATTTTCTGTCGGCTTTTATACTAAATTATAACAAACAGTTCGACTGTTTGTTGACCTTGCGGTTATTCCGCGCGCGGTTGTTCGGCGTTTTCTTGTTAGTGATTGTTTCGGATGTCGTGACGCTTTCCGGATCGTCACATACGTTCTCACCAAGGGTCATCATAAAGATTCGGGACACTCTGTATACATTGCATTTTTTTCTCATAATCTGTTATACGGTCGTCAACGGTGTTAACTGTTTAGCGTTTTTCAGATTCTACGTTGAAAATTTTTCAAGAACGGTAAGCATTTAAGCTATAATGTTCTCTATTTGTTTTATATAATAATTTTATATACACGTACAGAAATTAGTATAATTAGTATAATTGATATAATAAATAGTATAATAATTATTATAATATGAAAAACCATGATTTTGATCTGAGTGCACTGAGAACTGTGTTTTATAACTACGTAGTAGAGTAATAACCCGCACAACACAACGTCTAAAATCGAGACATAAGATGTCTTCAAAACGTCTTAAAGACATTTTACGTCTTGAGTTTAGACGTTGTGTTATGTGAGTATATTTGTGAAAATTTTTTACACGTGTATTGCTATTTCTTTTTTTACTTTTTCCATTAGAACATTGAAATATAGTTAGCGTAAGGAAGTATAATGGTAAAAAAGGCAGTTTTTCTCCTACCAAGATAAGCGTGAAAACATTATCATTTCTTGCTTACTAATTTTGATCAGCTAAATACAATGGTAAAATCCAATATCAATTAGATGACTGACTTCCGATATCTAAAATAGCGGATTCTATATGGCGCATTTTAAAGTAAAAATTTGTTATTTCTATAAATCAAATGAGGAGACATGAACTTTTTTTTACTATTTTTTCAAATATCTTTTGAAAATTTCCTGCATTAGTTGTTTCTAGTTTGTGTATTTGCAGATAGAAATTTCCTCCCACAATATTGACAAGTTTGGCACTACTTGTATCCCTGACGAAAATAAGAAGTTTCATAAGCGTTTGTTTAGCATTTACGTAAGTGTTTGCGGGTGTTCATTGAGAGTTTAGAAATTGTCAGTAGAACGGAAATTGCACTGTAACGTTTAAAAGGCGTTTGCGTACTAGAAGAGCGTTTGCTGAACGGAGAAAAAACGCTTGCCTTACGGCGTTGGGAAAAGAGTTTTTCAAACGTTTTAAAAGTCTGACAGCAAACTCGCTGCACGAAGAAGTATCAGCGTTTACTGAGTGTACTTTGAAAAGCGTTGCTTCAGCATTGCAGAACTTTCATAAAATGTTATATACAGCATTTGATAAGTTATGAAAGCGTTCTGAAAGCTTTCAAAATCTAACAGCGTCCTTTGAACTTACAGGATGTCAACGTTCATACAAAATTTGAAAGCGTATAAGCTCTCAAGAAATACTCATCGAATGGTTTATAAAGATTTTTATTTTCATCAGGGATATAGGGGGTTATCTGGAGTAATATTATAAACAATTAATACGATAAACAGTTGCATGGGCGCGCTGACGAAAGAATATATATATATATATATATATGTATGTATATATATATTGTGACGTGGCAGCCGTGGAGGCGCCCGTCTCAAGAATCCCGTGTCGATTTGGCGAGAATGTTTGTCGCGTGCCGTGTCGCTAACGGTTTTCGAGACCTTGCCGAATATCGCGTTCCGTCGGATTGTTTGTTGTGAAGATCATAGAACAAAGCGAAGAAGCGATTTTTGCGAACGGAGCAGATGCGAAGGTCAGCGCGTCCCGAATTTTGTGCCCCTCGACGTCCCTTGCCGGCCACCAGGACGAGGAGCGGAGGACATCGAGGAGGGAGGATGCAGCGGATGACAACTAGCGAAGCTCTCACTCAGGTGAATCGCACTCTCGTACTTTGTGATTAAAATGTATTATCGCAGATTATCGCGCGCTCAGCAATAGCGAAAATTCTATCGCTGAGAAGCTATCGTAGTTCGAACACAGTATCAAGTTTAGACGGATCAGCTGTATTTACTTGTAGCGAAGCAGCCGTCGCGAGAAACCCGGCAGGAAAAAACGGGAGAGCCGGGAGAGACAACAGGCGAACTCCCGATGTCAACAGTGTCTCGAGACGAAAAATGTCTCGAGACAATATTACCGAAATCTGCCGATTCTCGACGATCGACGACCCCAGGACGAGGGGGGCAGCGACGAGGGAGGATCCGCGAGGATACGCGATCCTCCCAGGAAGGATCAGCTGACAGCCTTACCGCCGCGAGCGCACTCAATTCCGCGTGCCCCAGTAAAGTGAGAGAAAGAGAGAGAAAAAGAGAGAGCAGAGAGAGAGAGAGAGAAAGAGAGAACGAGGGAGTGCAGTGGGAACGCGAGAGAGCGGAGCGAGGGAGAGAGAGCGGAGCGAGAGAGAGTGAGCGGAGCGAGAGAGGGAGAGCGGAACGAGAGAGAGGACCGCCACCGCTGCCGTCACCGCCGCCGCCGACGCAAGAGCTGTCGCCAAATTTGTAAGACTGACCATCTGCTTCAAATTTATTTGTGTCGCGTATCGTCCTGTATCGTGCGGTGTCTCGTCCGCGGAGTGGTCGCGCGAATAGGAAAGGCTCGCCCGAGGAAAGCGTCCTCGGGCTTCGTGTAACGTTTCGCGAACTGTACCGTCTCGAGAGGAGCGTTGTCGTGACGACCTCCGCTCGTATACCAACTATCGGGACGTGCTAGAGTCCCCGAATAAACGTCTCATTATTACCGATATCGAGTCCAGTGATTTCGCCTTCTCCTAACCCATCCCGTCTCCGACTTTAATTTAATACGAGCTACCGGTCCCGACGGTTCCGGGACGCGCATCTTTTTTTGTAATAATTATCTACTCTCGCGTTTATCGAGATGGTGCGGCCTTTCCGTACCTGGCGCCCAACTCTCGCGGAGATCTTAGTGGCGTGTCCTGGAGCCGACGGCAATTTGCCGACGCGGCTAACAGGCGACTGTTTGCCGTCGCTCGCGAACAGTACGTTCGCGAGTACCGTCGCAATATATATGTATATATGTATATATATATATATATATATATATATATATATATATAT